TATTTTATTAATTTACCTAGAAAGTCCAATGTGTAAGTTTTCAAATATTTTAATATAACCTAATATATACAAATATATAAATACAAAATAGAAGGGTGTAAGGCCCCGTTTGTTTCGTTGGATATAAAATGGAGGATATAATATGATGTGGGATTTAGTCAGGATATATAATGAATAGGATATAAGTATTGGATAGTATATCCCCCAAGTCATGTTTGTTGACTTGATATATAAGATTGGATATATGTTATGCATGTTTGTTTTACAAAATATATTGTGGGATATAACAAGTAATTTCCAAGATTGCCCTCATAATATTATATTATATTAAATTAAATTAAATAATATTATATTATATTAAATTAAATTAAATAATATTATATTATATTAAATTAAATTAAATAATATTATATTATATTAAATTATTTGTATTAAATTATATTATATTAAATTCAATAATATTTATATTATATTAAATTCAATAATATTTATATTATATTAAATTCAATAATATTTATATTATATTAAATTCAATAATATTTATATTATATTAAATTCAATAATATTTATATTATATTAAATTCAATAATATTTATATTATATTAAATTCAATAATATTTATATTATATTAAATTCAATAATATTTATATTATATTAAATTAATATAATATTATATTATATTAAATTCAATAATATTTATATTATATTAAATTCAATAATATTTATATTATATTAAATTCAATAATATTTATATTATATTAAATTCAATAATATTTATATTATATTAAATTCAATAATATTTATATTATATTAAATTCAATAATATTTATATTATATTAAATTCAATAATATTTATATTATATTAAATTCAATAATATTTATATTATATTAAATTCAATAATATTAAATTAAATTCAATAATTATATTATATTAAATTCAAAAAAATATATTAAATTATATTATGTTAGATAGAAAAAAGGGTAAATTGGACTTTTTACATCATATCCCCACCAAGGGGATATGATATAATGGGGGGGATGTGGTATTGTATATCCTCCACTTTTGGGGGATATACAATCCCACCGGATATTATATCCCCTTCAAAAAAAAATTGCAAATATGGGATATATGGACCCCACCGGATATAATATCCAATCCCAATCTTTATATCTCCCAATCAAACAGGGCCAAGTGCCTTGCATATCATATACCAGGCACACTTAAAGAAAAGTCCTACTAGTTTTAGAATCTTCCTGTTGGCCTAGGTTCATGGACATAGAAATAAAAAAATATAAAAAGAGGCACAGACCGTAGATGTGTTGGCACCAAATATGGCAGACAGATGAAACGCGTTTAACAAAGATGACATTGCATGTACACCAGATATGTTGCAGTAGAGTTGAATAATATATAAATGTCATTCCCATGAATTCGTAATGAAGAAGACGCCTTAAGCATTTGAATCTTCTTGTTTGTCTTTGTAAAAGCAGTATATTGCATTCATATGAATAATTACAATTACAAATTTCTATCTATTTGGTTTGGTTGACATAAATTATTGTTTTAGTCCAAACCACATTTGGTTTAGATAGAGTTTGTTTCTGTGCTTTCGCCGACGAATCATCCGGGGTCGTTCCGGTATAGTCTTCACAAGAATTGCAACACTGGCCATTCTTTTTCGTACTTGCCTAATCGATTAAACACTCGATCAGATTGGTGTTGGCGAACTCATTTCGGATCGGAACAGTCGAAGGTGATCTAGTGAAGCGAGCGTTGGCACAATTGATTCGGCCATCGAGACAGAGAATTGAGAGGCAATTAATTTGTCATTAATTACAGAGAATTGAGTCAAGAGGAATATGATGATGGTGGAAGAGAAGAGATCAAAAGGAAGAATTACCTCTCTCTCTCTCTCTTCTCAACAATCGATGGATTGTCTTTCATATATATATATGTTCATGATTGGTACGTCACATCTTGTCAAAATGTTTCGGTGCGTATATATATATATGTCTGTATTATATCTATAATGTTCATAGAAGTTAGACACGCCTCTAGAGACTCACTCTCTATCCTCAACAATCTCATAAATAGAGAGAGGGGGTAAAGATGTGGTGTGTGTTGGGTGAGTAAGAAAGAGGGAGGAAAAGTTGCGCGCCTCTGTGGATAATGCACAAAGGGTGTTTGATGAAATGCGTGATCGGAATACAATCACATGGACCCCTCTTATTCACGGGTATTCCCGGGTTCATGTTGTTAAATCGGTTGCTAGAATAACTCATTATTTGCATAAATCTCATGAAGAATTTAATGAGCACACTTGTTCGGTAATTTTGTAGGCGTGTGAGTCACCGAACGAAAGGATTTGTGGTGAACAGATTCATGGTTTTGCCATAAAAAGCGGGTTTTGTGATAATATTTTTGTTGGAACTTTTTTAGTTTCTATGTATTCAAGAAGTGGCCACTTGGATGATGCAGATAAATTGTTCAATGATTTGACTTACAAAGATGTTCGCTGTCTGAAATTTTATGATTAAAGTTTAATTGAAAATTTATTTAAATTATCATGTTTAAATATTTCGGGTGATCTAGATTGTGTTGATATTGCTCAAATACTACTATTACAATCAAACAAAAATTATTTACACATTTTTTTTTCTCATAATCCTCCAAAAGAAATTCATTGATGATGTCATCATCACAATCACAATTTTAATTAAAAATTGATTGAGGAATTTTTTGTGTTGATTATTATTTTTTAATAATCAATTGAAAGTTATTTTTAAAGTAACTTTGAGTTTTGTGAGATAGATGTCTTCAATCTTTATTTTACTTGTGTGGTAAACTTGGTTTAACTATGAATCATGTTCTTAATGTGGGAGTTTATCTTTTGACTTAAAAGAGATAATTCCATTTTTGTTCCTAATATTTTTGAATGAGTTATTATTTGTGACAGTGTCACTTGTCTGTAAATGAACCATGTTGTTTTTGCTAATTTATGTATTATCACAAATGTAAGGAAGAGAGATTAATGGGAAAATTATGATTATGATTGACTAGTTAATCTTGTCTATGTCTACATATGTTGTAGAGTTGACAATTAATGGCATCATTTTTTTATTATTATTTTATTTTATATGATATCATTAATATCAATTTGGTATGTGGTGTATTATAAATGGATGTCAATTATTTATCAAAGTGTTAATAAAAATGTGAACCTATGTGTTTTGACATAAGAGGAATTCTAACTATTCTTTGGAATAATGACTAAAATTGGTGTGGTGACTGATCCCTAATGAAATATTATATGAATTAAAATATTTCATGGATAAAAGACGCTTTGGTAATTGTCGACGTAATCACCAATACTAGATAAGACAAATAAGATGTAAATGCATTTATACAGTGATATTTATATTCCATGTTGAGATTGGAATTAAGGGTTACAGTAAACAAAAAGAAATTAATCATGGCTAAAGAAATATTATTTGACAAAGTGTTGTGCCCACAACCGGTATTAGTCATTTCTTCATTGTACTGCCAAAGCAAGTTATGAAGTTTAATTGTATTTTAGAAAAATTAGTATTGTAATTATATTCACAAAGCAATTTACATCTTGTTATTTAGTTCAAGCACGCCAATTAATGATATATTCTGATTTATCTCAGAAATGTGGGGGTGTATTTATTATACACCAGTAAGAGAAATTAAGTTTTCTTGGAATGCTTAAAATGTGGGGATGCTTTGAGGATTTTGTCAAAGTAACGGTTTTGATTGTAGGTCCACAAATAATCTCAATTCTTTCTATAGGACAAAGTTGGAGTAGAAGCAAAAATGGTTTCATTAACTCCTAAGAAACAACTCTATGTTTATTATTTTAAAAATGGGAGTGACATAGAGTAACGGTAAGTCTCGATATAATCAAAGACTTAATGACATTTGCTTTCAGTTGTGAATATTGTCTAAGGATAATATAATGAATCCACTAACTACTCAATGATATATAATTGAGAAGGTCAAACGAAAAATAGCGACCGCTAAACAAAAAGTTTGACCAGAGAGCAAATGAGGGAAAGTTCATCGAGGAGAATGTGATTAAAGCCTATTACACCAGAGTCATCATAATGATAACCCTACTTAGATGATTGGAGATCTCAAGAAATAAGTCCAAAGGGACAACTAAGTTATGTGTGGTTCGCCAGAAATCACTAAAGGAGTCTATCTCTTATCCATTCCTATGATGAGAGTGATATCTGCAACATGTGTTGTATATAGGGGATTTAGGATAAGCTATGCTTTTAATGATCACTTATATCTTGAAAAACCTAGAGGGGTATTTTTCAAGAGAAGTATTTAAGAGATTTGAAATAAGGATCACCTATATGAGTGTGAAGGGGCCGCTTCTATAAGAATTAATAAGGCTAAATTTTCTAAAGCACTCATGAAACACTAGGACTTGCCCAAGGCCAAAACGAACACAACCGTGAGAACTAAGCTATGTTTGGAAATATTCTGTGTGAATTTTATTGTCTTGGCTTACACAAACGGCCGAACAGTTCAAGGCATCATGTCCACTGATTAGCTAGTAAGTCCGATAGACTTTCACTAGGAAAAGTTCAAAGCCGAAAGCTGCCTATCCTGATGCAGGATATTTCCTTAATGTACTCTCTCTTTGTTTGCATGTTGTTGCATGTCCTTTCCGTAAATTTCATTCATGTGGGGGATTGTTGGAAATTTTGAATTTAAATTTACTCCATTGATTGTGTCTCTTGAGATGGAAGAGTGTTTCCTTTTGAAGGGTCACAACCTTTCTGAAGAGTCACATAGAAGTCTATAAATTCCATCTCTCCCACTTCAATTTGAATAGAGAATTGTCATTTTCTTCTTCACTTTGCATTTATTCTTCATATTTCTGCAGTCTAATTTTCCTATAAAGAGAGTACATGCATAGTGAAGTTCGCTAGGCTTGCAATAGTAGTGCTGCTAGTGTAAGACATTAATCGTTGTATCCTGGGAGATAAACGTCCATTGAATCCGAAGCACCGATGGGAGGACGAATCTGTCTTAAGAAAAAAGAGTGTCACACACTCCACTTGATCAGGTTTTATCTGTTTATGTACTGTAAGTTTTATCACGTTGTTATGTAGATTTATTTCAATTTTTGGTTTTGTCCAAAAATTGTTTGCATAATTTTAAATTATATTTTCTATATAATTTAGTACTATTTTTCTAACAATAATGTCACTGATTTTTTTTATTTATTATTACCATTATATATTACCTCTTATATAAGACTCGTGATTGGTTCATTGTTTAAAGATAATTACTAAACAATTAATGAAAATAAATAATATCTTATCATGTAATTTAGTGATATAAAAAAATAAATGATATATAACAATCTATTATGTTATAAAATTATGAGTTAATTACTTAAAATTCCTATTTACAAATGTTATGGTAGCTCAGATTCTATTTAAGATTTGTTGAACCAATAAGTCTTATTTAGTAAAATTGAGAATGTTATCAGGTTTTCCCAATTTTTAAAACTAAGAACAATACCAATTTTGCATAGTAATATTTTAGATAATTGTTTCACTAACTAATTAAAAAAACAGAGTATGAAATTAAACGTTTTTGCCCTTCTATTTATTGGTTTGATTTAACTATTCAATAAAACCAAGAATATTAACAGTTTTTTTCTAATTTTAAAATTGAGAACATTATCAGTTTTTCATTTAAATTTTTTTTTCCCAATTTTGCACATCAATGTTCCAGCATCATGCTCCTTTATAGACACAAATTTTTAGTTTTGCACAAAAAAAATAATTCATTTTTTTTTTTATAAAAAACACATTTTAGTTTTTTTTTCACATAATTTTTTTTTTATATAGTTTTTTTCAATTTGAAAGTTGATGTTTTGAAGTTTTAAAAATTAAAATAAATGCCAAATCTGTCAAGACCCAACCTCAGGGCTTAGAGTTGGAATCGTGACTTACTAACTTATTCTCATTCGAAGTAAATTAAGCTGCGCAACTAAAATTACTTAAACAGAAATTTTACTACATCTTACTATTTAAGAAAAATGAAATACATTTTTAAGGCTTTCATTATTTTATTATTCAGTGACCAGCCCCGAATAGAGACAAAATGAAGCAAAAATATAAAAAAAAAAGAAAGGTAAAGTAGTGATTCATCATCAGTCCATATGCAGGTTCCATTTGGTAGGGTTATGGATTTCCCTCACATCTCGTCACCTGAAAGGGTAACAGCTATATAAGCACACAGCAGAGTGAGAAATATTATGTCAAGAATGTAGAGAATACAAAATATCCATGGATAATTAATTAGGCTAAAACATTTGCAACATTTAATTTAAAATGACAATTTATTTAAAGTGGCAGAATACAGAAATCATGTAAATAATAATCATAACCGCGGTATAAAACAGAGCAGAACAGAGGTCACAGAAGTGACAGTCAGAACAGAGGTCAATGGATCCATGACAAACAGAGGACCACAAAGTGGTCAAACAGAGGCCAGTGGTTATTTAAGTCCCCCAAGACGTAGGACTCCCGTGGTGGTACTAACAAAACATAATTGTTTATAAGGTTATAATCAAATATATACTAAAATTTAAACTAACATATCCGTGGGTTTCCTTTTAAGTAAATAGAGTTTAGAAAGTATCCCACGTAACTAAAATATTTATAAACATAACTTTTGTTTATATAACTTGATAAATATAACTTGTTTGAAATACGCTATGGTAACTCAAAACATTTATAAAACATATAATGGTAAATTAAGGTATAACATATCTCACCTTAAGTATAACCCTTAGCCTTTACTTTACTAGCAGAACTTTCTTTCCTTACTAATATATTTCTCTCGTTTCTTACTCTTCCCTCTTTTTTGTTTTTCTTTCGTTTTCTTCTCTTTGTTTTTTTCTGAATCACAGCCCACTAGTCCCCTTTATATACTGTTTGTTGAGTCCAGGGATGAAGGACACGTAGCCTCTCTCCCTTGGAGGCATCATGAGGCTAGAGATATGAGCTATTAATTGAAGATCCATTATAAGATTTAAATCTTTTATGGATAAGGATTATCTTCCTAATACATATGCTTGGGCCCTTTTTGTTTTCTTTTCTTGGGCCGAATTCCATAAACATTGCTGGGCCAAACACCTTCTCTTTTTTTTTCTTTTTTTTTTCATTTATTTATTTGTTTAGGTGTTAAGTGTTTCAATGTTCCTAATATAAATCATGTAGCATCATAAAATTAATTATTTTATTTTATTTTTACTTTACAAATTTATTATTGTTATTCCATATTATTATTTATTTACTATCTTTAATTTTAATTGACCTAACCAGTATTAGAATTTCATATTTCTGTTAATTTGGCCATAAATAAAAAAAATCCCTAATTAATCCCATATAACCCAGTGCTAAATCAGGTTATTTATTTATTTATTTATTATTAATTATTTAATAATATGTTATCACATACCCCCATAAGTATAAACTATAAATATTTATGTGATATTTAATTAAACGTTCAGTGTGTCACATTTCTCCCCTCCTAATAGGAGTTTGTCCCCAAACTTGACGTACCTTAACTTTCGAAGAGGTGTGGGTATTTGACTCGCATTTGGTTTTCTGTTTCCCACATAGCTTCTTCGGTATGATGATTTCGCCATAAGACCTTTACCAGCGGTATGGTCTTGTTTCGGAGAACTTGATTACGACGATCGAGAATCTGCACTAGTTGTTCTTCGTAAGAGAGATCTTCTCGCACTTCCAAGTTCTCATAGTCGATGACATGTTCTGGATCTCGGAGATATCGTTGGAGCATTGATACGTGAAACACGTTGTGGATTTTAGATAACTCAGGAGGTAGTGCAAGGCGATAGGCTACAGGACCAATTCTTTCCAGTATCTCAAATGGGCCGATGTAACTTGGATTTAGCTTTCCGCGCTGTCCGAATCGGATCACTCCTCTTGTTGGTGAGATTTTGAGAAACACATGATCTCCTACTTGAAATTCCAAGTCTTGTCTCCGAGTATCCGCATAACTTTTTTGGTGGCTCTGAGCAGTGCGAATCCGCTGTTGGATGAGTTGGATTTTCTCACTTGTGATTTGCACGATTTCGGGGCCTAACAATTTCCTGTCCCCAACTTCCCTCCAGCACAGGGGTGATCGACATCTCCTTCCATACAGAGCTTCGTATGGTGCCATTCCAATGCTTGCCTGATAGCTGTTGTTATAGGCGAATTCCATTAAAGGTAGGTGCTCATCCCAGTTACCTTTGAGGTCCAACACGCATACACGTAACATGTCTTCCAACGTCTAGATTGTTCTTTCGGATTGCCCATCAGTTTGTGGATGATAGGCTGTGCTGAACTTCAGTGTAGTTCCCAACGCTTCTTGCAATTTATTCCAGAAGTGAGACACGAATCGAGGGTCTCGGTCAGACACGATTGAAACTGGAATACCATGCAACCGAATAATCTCTTTGATATATAAAGTGGCAAATTTATTCAGAGGGTACATGATTTTGATTGGTAGGAAGTGTGCTGACTTTGTCAATCGGTCTACTATAACCCATATTGCATCATTCCTTAAAAAAGACTGTGGTAGCCCGACCACGAAATCCATAGTAATGTGTTCCCATTTCCATTCAGGAATAGGGAGTGGTTGCAGTAGTCCCACCGGTCTCTTATGTTCTGCTTTAACCTTCTGACAATGCAGACATTTAGAAACATGGTTTGCTATATCTCTTTTCATTCCGGTCCACCAGTAATGTTCCTTCAGATCATGATACATCTTTGTGTTGCCAGGGTGAACTGCAAATCTTGAGTTATGAGCTTCCTCCAGTATCTTCTTCTTGAGTTCCGGGATGTCGGGTATGCAAATTCGATTTCGAAATTTCAGTATCTCATTGCTCATCATAAAATCAGGATCAGGCGTGTTCCCTTGTTCCTCGTACCTTTTCTTCAAGAGTTTATCTTCCCATTGGCGTGCTTTGATTTCTCCAATCAATGTAGGCTCCATGATTACATTGGCGAGCAACCCATTGACCTTGCGGGAAACGAGAGTGCATGCCAAACTTTTCGTCGATTTTTAGCTCAGTGCGTCCGTTACCACGTTAGCTTTGCCTGGATGGTGATGGATCTCTATCTCGTAGTCTTTCATAAATTCTAACCACCGTCGTTGCCTCATATTCAGTTCCTTCTGCGTGAATAGATATTTTAAACTCCTGTGGTCAGTATAAATCTCGCATGTTGTATCGTAGAGATAATGACGCCAGATTTTGAGAGCGAAGATTACCGCAGCCAATTCCAAATCGTGAGTCGGGTAGTTCTTCTCGTGAGTCTTCAATTGTCGTGACGCATAAGCAATGACCTTTCCGTCTTGCATGAGAACACAACCCGACCCATTGTATGAGGCATCACTATAAATTACGAACCCCTCTGCTCCGGTAGGGAGTGCTAGTATAGGGGCTGACACAAGTCGACCTTTTAATTCTTGAAAGCAACGCTCCTGTTTATCAGTCCATTCAAAGGGTGTGTTCTTTTGAGTTAGCTGGGTCAAGGGCGATGCTATTTTTGACAAATCTTGCACGAAGCGTCGATAATAACCAACTAGACCCAAGAAACTTCAGATTTCTGACACATTAGTAGGTCGTGGCCAGTCCACGATTGCTGCAACTTTTTGGGGATCAACCGAGATGCCGTCTTTGTTAATGACGTGACCAAGAAAGTGTACACTAGTGATCCAGAATTTGCATTTCTTCAACTTGGCGTAGAGTTTGTGATCATATAGTGTTTGTAGAACCATTCGTAAGTGCCGCTCATGAGTTTCTGGTGACTTGGAGTATATAAGGATGTCGTCAATGAAAACAATGACGAACTCATCAAGATAGGGTTTGAATACTCTGTTCATGAGGTCCATGAAGGCTGCTGGGGCATTTGTGACGCCAAAAGGCATGACGAGAAATTCGTAGTGCCCGTAACGGGTTCGGAAGGCCGTCTTTTCAATGCTTTACATTTTAACCTTTAGCTGATGGTAGCCAGAACGTAAGTCAATTTTGGAAAATACTTGTGCGCCTTGAACTTGATCGAACAAGTCATCGATTCGTGGCAGAGGATATCGATTCTTGATGGTGACCTTGTTCAGCTCCCGGTAATCGATGCATAACCTCATCGTGCCATCCTTTTTCTTCACGAACAATATTGGAGCTCCCCAAGGTGAGGTACTAGGTCGGATAAAACCTTTGTCCAGGAGTTCCTGGAGTTGAGTCTTCAGCTCTTTCAATTCTGTCATCGACATGCGATAAGGAGTTTTTGATATAGGTTGCGTGCCAGGTTGGGTTTCAATAGTGAATTCGATTTCTCGATCAACTGGAATACCGGGTAAATCTTCAAGAAAGACATCCGGGAATTCTCGAACTACTGGAATTGCATCAACGGTAGGGGCCTCTTTTTGTGTATCAATCACATAACAAATATAACTATCACAACCCTTTCTTAGGAGTCGTTGAGCCACCATGGAGGATATGATACAGGAAGGGTTGAAAATTTCAGCCCCATCAAAAACAATTTCGGGTTGGTTTGGTAACTTGAGGGAGACCTTTTTGGCTTTACAATCGATAGAGGCGTGGTTAGCAGTCAGCCAATCCATACCTAAGATTACATCAAAGTTTTCAATGCGGAGGGGAATTAAGTCTACATATAAGGTTTTGTCTTTTAGGAATACAACACAAGATCTGTACACATCAGTACTACAAGCAGACTTACCAGAAGGAAAAGACACAGACAATGTATATCCTAATGGTTCGGGTGTTGATATCAACTTGGCGGCAAAGTGTGGTGCAACAAAAGAATGAGTTGACCCAGAGTCAATAAGGACATGAGCCAAAAGACCACAGATAGAAAGTGTACCTGACACAACATTTTCGATAACTTCCGGTTTTTCAGGTACCAAGGCGAAAGCCCGACCTTGGTGGTTTTGGCCCTTCTTTTCTCCTCCCGGTCCCGCGATTCTCTTGACTGGGCCAGAGGGGCTGGCTGTAGGATTAACTATCTTTGGACAATCTCTTAGCAAGTGGCCAAACTGTCCGCGTCTAAAACACGCTCCCGTGTCTCGATGGCATTGTCCCCAATGAATCCTCCCACAAGTGGGGCAAGTTAGAATAGTGCCACCTCGAGGGTTGGTAGGACCGTGGTGGCCTAAGCTGGTTGTGCCCATGTTTACCTTTTTATGAGGTGCAACACCCGGTCTTCTATTATCCCTTTCCCAGAATCGCTTCTTGTAGTTTGGTTCTCCGGAACGCGAGGCTTTAATTCCCTTTCCTGTTATGTACGCCCGGTCCACCACTTCTGCATAGGTTGGCAATTTCAAGACCTCAAGTCTGTCTTTAATCCCAGCATCCAACCCTGCTTCAAATTTTCTTGCTTTTCGAGCTTCAGTGGGGATGACGTATGTTGCAAATCGAGCGAGTTGTGTGAACTTGCTCTCATATTCGGCCACCATCATGGTTCCTTGCTTAAGATGTATGAAGTCGGATGCCTTCTGCTCCCGCAATGAATCTGGAAAGTATTTTTCATAGAATACTTCCAAGAATCTTGCCCAAGTCGTAATTTCTTCTTTGGCCAGAGTGAGAAGCCACCATTCCTATGCATCGTCTTTGAACGTGAAGGTGGCGAACGTTACCTTTTGCCTCTCGGTGCAAGGTAGGGCACGGAAAATCTTTTCCATGTCTTTAACCCAAGCGTCTGCTACCGGTCTGGGCCAACAGTAAATATGGTGGGTTTCAGATTAGATCTGGAACTGTTTTATGGTAACCGGCCCTTCTCGCCGTTCCGGCGTCCCATTGTTGATATTAGTTTGCAAGGCTTGTAGGAAGCTAGTAACCGCTCTTTCCATTACTCTTTCCATTAATTCCGTACCACTAACTGACGACTCACTCCCATTACCATTAGCCATTCTACAAGCAATAAACGAGGTATTATATTTTCAATGCAGCATATATAGCATAACATGTAGTATACTTTATATTTATATAAACTGCCAACATTACACATTTATATTAGTCAAAATATATTGGTGTCCCATCCCTGTGGTAAACAAAAGTCAACAAAAAGAGGACTAGAACATATCAAGATTAGCATACAAAAGATTTTCTACTAGCCAGATCTAGAGTGGTGGGTCAGATGGGCCGAAAAACCAGGGGAAATAGTGCTGCATAAAAAACTCGAACTCCCACCCCAACTGGATTACACCAAAACACACTCATGCTACCTGGACCGCGAAAATGGGGATAGACCGTATATGACCCACAAATGGTCGGTCGACAATCCAAACAGGTGTCTCAACATATGACAGGTCATTTTCGAAGTCAACATTTTACATATTAATGATCTCTAGTGGATTTGGAACTGTGGTGAGAATATAATCCTCAGGGTACATATTCCCCCTTCTGGCTGCAAACTCTGAGGGTAGCGGGCCTATAATGTAGTGCGGGCGGTCATGACCCGGGGCGACGCCAAGGACGCGAGATGGTCCGAGAAAACGTCTGCGTGTGTGGTCAAGGCTATGTCTCCATAATAGGTGTGGAACGTTGGTAGGGTCAACCTGGATATAAATTGGCCGTCCCATCAATCGGCCAAGACCTGGGTGTAATTCCCTGACTATCTCTTCAGAATCTCCCCAACCTTCAGGGAAGGCGGGGGCGGGGGCAGGGTGTTCGGCTAAAATTTCATTTAAGTTGATGGCCTGGAGGTCATTCCAGAAAGCATAAATCAAGTTTTTTATTCAAATTTAAAATAAAGTAGATGAAAAAAAAAAAAGAATAGTAGGCAATGTCCCAAAGATATTTAAATTGGATTGTAAAGTTAAATTAATTAGTTTTTATTTTTATTTTTAAACCTATGAACATCATAAGAGAAAATTATTTAGAAAAAATTTGTCAAGATCCAACCCCAGGGCTTAGAGTTGGAATCGTGACTTACTAACTTATTCTCATTCGAAGTAAATTAAGCTGCGCAACTAAAAATACTTAAACAGAAATTTTACTACATCTTACTATTTAAGAAAAAGGAAATACATTTCTAGGGCTTTCATTATTTTATTATTCAGTGACCAGCCCCGAATAGAGACAAAAGGAAGCAAAAATATAAAAAAAAAGAAAGGTAAAGTAGTGATTCATCATCAGTCCATATGCAGGTTCCATTTGGTAGGGTTATGGATTTCCCTCACATCTCGTCACCTGAAAGGGTAACAGCTATAAGCACACAGCAGAGTGAGAAATATTATGTCAAGAATGTAGGGAATACAAAATATCCATGGATAATTAATTAGGCTAAAACATTTGCAACATTTAATTTAAAATGACAATTTATTTAAAGTGGCAGAATACAGAAATCATGTAAATAATAATCATAACCGCGGTATAAAACAGAGCAGAACAGAGGTCACAGAAGTGACAGTCAGAACAGAGGTCAATGGATCCATGACAAAGAGAGGACCACAAAGTGGCCAAACAAAGACCCATGGTTATTTAAGTCCCTCAAGGCATGGGACTCCTGTGGTGGTACTTACAAAACATAATTGTTTATAAGGTTATAATCAAATATATACTAAAATTTAAACTAACATATCCATGGGTTTCCTTTTAAGTAAATAGAGTTTAGAAAGTATCCCACGTAACTAAAATATTTATAAACGTAACTTTTGTTTATATAACTTGATAAATATAACTTGTTTGAAATAAGTTATGGTAACTCAAAACATTTGTAAAACATATAATGGTAAATCAATGTATAACATATCTCACCTTAAGTATAACCCTTAGCCTTTACTTTACTAGCAGAACTTTCTTTCCTTACTAATATATTTCTCACGTTTCTTACTCTTCCCTCTTTTTTGTTTTTCTTTCGTTTTCTTCTCTTTGTTTTTTTCTGAATCACAGCCCACTAGTCCCCTTTATATATTGTTTGTTGAGTCCAGGGATGAAGGACACGTAGCCTCTCTCTCCCTTGGAGGCATCATGA